GACAAACATATAAAAGAAGTAAAGGAAAAAAGACGATCGTAAGGATTCGGAAAGAAAAAGCAGCAGTTCCCTGTTGCAGTTCAGGCACAGTTATGAGCATGACATTGATGAATCAACCCATTTACAATTACAATTCTACTGTGCATAAGAACATGGTTAATGTCATCCCCCCTCCCCCCCCTTTGGGAATGGCCTAAAGACACTTCAGTCAGTAGCATCGCCCCGGTTATGAATTGTGTGGACACAGCATAATGTTATGAACTGTGGAAATACAAAACTACAAAGTAACGTCATGACAAAACCGTGTGGGTAAAAATGACACAGCAATAGTAGGGGCCTACTAATATTATTACAAACTACTCCCAAGTGATGTTACGATGAATTGTGTGGACAATAACATAGTAGGTACATTATTATAGCTAGTATGACCAGTTGTGTAGATTAGATATATACAGAGTAATATTATGACGAGATTAAAAATGACACAGTGATAGAATTACAAATGTGTCACGACGCGGTGGAATCAGGCGCTCGTCAATTTTGGGGCATATGGAGTTATTGGTATCATCGTAAAGCTTGTCCATTTGCCTTGCTTTTGATGAAAACAATATCTATTTATCTTGGATACAAGTCAAGATATGGGTGATTGAAGGAGGTGGGGGTGGCCTGGTTTCAGAGGTAAAATTAGCAAGAAAATGGACGCCAAAGTTGAGTTATTTCCGAAGCTTGATAGCACATGGAAACTGAAAGTTTACATATCTTATGCCTTAAATCAACAGTACAATCCTCACATAAATGCTTTCTTTAAAGGGCATGAAAGGTGTTGAGCCTAAAAACAAAAATTCTTTAAAAATTCCCAAACCAGCGGAAAAATGCCAGTTTCTTCACTTTCACTATTTTGACGAGCGCCTGATTTCACCACGCTGCCCCACAAATTATGTAGTTTAAACTACACAGAAATGTTTTAATGAATTGTGTAGATCAGATCTAAAACTACTCAGTAATGTTATAATAGACACTGTTTCTATACATTCTACCTCTAACAATACTGGTCCAGTTGTAAACATATTAAATGCTTATACTTATACATAAAGATTTTATATATATATATATATATATATTTTAGACGACACTGGGTAGATTGCACCACGCTTTTGGTTAGAAAATTCCATGTAATTAATGCATACAGCACAGTATAGTACACATCCCAATAGAGAATGTGAGACAAAAGGTGTAGTGTAAATAACTGATTGTGCAAGAGAACATTGAAGTGGACGGCCAAATCTAAGAACTAGTGGACATTAGTTGGATAACAAAAAGACTTACAGTACATCGACTCTGTAAAAGTCGTTTGTTGGTTTGAGTAAAGAGAAGTAAAGCGCACATCAACATAGCAACCATCATTTAGTTCTGGGAAAAAGTAAAACAGAAACATCAGAGGGAAAGAAAAGAACAAGGAGGTAGCAGTTTTGTTTTTGTAAGGTTTTGTTTGTTTGTCTTAGTAGAGGTTTTACGGCGCTCGCAACTGCATGAGTTGTAAGGTTTTACGGTGCTCGCAACTGCATAAGGTCATATGAGCGCCAAGGGGTGGATGTCAACAGACAAGTCCAAACGGGGAATCAGGCTTACTCTGCTCACCTCTCTAGCCTCAACAGCACAAAGTGTGCTTCAACTAACATGTTAATATCCCCCCTTTGGGAATAGCCTAAAGACAAGTTTAACCAGTAGCACTGCCCTGTTTTG